ATATATATGTATGTATGTATGTTTATATTTATAATTATATATATAGTTATATATATAGTTATATATATGTATATATATATATATTTATATCTATAGATATATATATTACATATTTCTATATATCTATATATATATATATATATATATGTAAACATAAATACATACATACACACATACATGCATGTATACAGACATACATGCATGCATGCATGCATGCATATATATATATATATATATATATGTATGTAGCTATGTTTGTATGCATACGTATATATATATGTGTGTGTGCGTGTGTGTATATGTATCTATGTATCTATTTATCCATGTCTATATACATTAATATATATGTATCTATGTTTGTGTTTATGCATGTATGTATGTATGTATATATGCCTATGCATCCCGAATCAGGCTTTATTCTGGTACAATATATATAACAGTATATTTGGTGTTTTTCATCTAGACAGTTTTCAATTATAGTATGGGAGTGACTAAACTGTCGAGGTCAACAGGGAAAGAAGTGGGGACGTACACAGCTCACCTGTATACCTCTTTATGGCCTCAGCTTCTTGTTGCAACGGATTGTTATCTACTTTCTCTCTACTACCAGTCACGAGTACGATCAAACGCATGTATTCCTTGTGCGCATGTTTATACAAAACAGAGAAATTCGTTTACATCCTTATCGACCCGCCCTGGTCTTCTCAGAGCCTTCGATGCAGTGAGATTGTTATGCGCATGTCTGTGTACAGTAAAGTTGTTTTTTGACAGTCACTTTGGCTTGTACTGGGCTGTGCAGGACATCCAATCGACCGCAGATTGTCGTTATTCCGCTGGGAACTGGGAATGACTTGGGTCGCACTCTCGGCTGCGGCAACGGTGTGGTTACCTTCAGGGGCGTCATGCATATACTAAAGGTATACACAATCGGTCCTTTTTATTTTTAGGACGTGTATATTACACCCCACCTGATCTACCGTAGGCCTACATGTACACATAATAATTCTACTTTGTTTTTAATTAGCTTAGTGCACTCGGCTCCATTTCCTATGGATTTCCGTAGGCTTTTGCTGTGTGTAGCTACTGCCACGAAATCGAACGTGAGCGATGTTGCCTCCTTCGAGTCGGTATACAGGAACATACATGTACCACGTGAGAAATATAGACTTGTCGGCTTTGGGTATTGTTGCACCGTGTATTTAACCACAACAGCACCCGAGTACGTTTTCGAGCAGGGCTGTACAGAACTTGCTCAGGATTACACAATACTATAACTTGGTTTGAAGATCCCCCTTTTTTTCTATCAAACGCCGAGGTCCATTGTGTGAGAGTTTGCTGAATATATTTTTTGTTTGCTGCAGGGTGTTGGATACTCGCCGGTCGCTGCTGTGGCTTTGGACCAATGGAAAGTCTCTATACAGCAACCAGCCTTAGAGGGTGTCACAGATGGTGAGTGCGCGCCCAGTTACGCCGTATTGTGTTTTGCTCTTAACTATCTTTCATTATATATACGCAAATGTCATTCTGGTCTATGTATTGCTTGGCTGTGCTACAGGAATGCATAGTAATGTGCTAGGCTTTTTTTTGTTGGGTTGTTTATGCTCATGTGTAGCGTCTACCCTTATCTTGCTTATGCTACAAAAGTATACTGTCTGCCACATGTGAGTTTCCGTTGCGCTTGTATTTGATCGAACTCCTGTGTACATTGCTAGAGCCCAAGTTGGAGTGGATGTGTTTTTTTGGTCGCTCTGGGACCATTAGCATGTGCCCTTCCTCGGCAGGGATTAACACCAGGCTCGATGCGTATACGTATACAAGAGTTCAAAGTACAAAGATCGCGCACCGTGTACGTGCATGTACTAGCTGTTGCCATTGGCATTGCGATTGCCTAGTGAAAGTGCAAGCGTCTCAATTCTTACGCACATGCGCGTACTTGGCTTAGCAAAAGCTGTGCATCACACAAGTAAGCGCTTGTCTGCCCCTTCACATTAATGTTAATAGACACTGTCCTGCGAGTGAGTGTATAGTACCATCGAACCCGACATGTACGGGTTAGCTTGGGCACACATGCACCCATACACACACATGCATACGTACTCGCTTCTGAAACACACCCACACAAATCCCACACAGCCCTTACGGTCACCCCCACGGCCTCGGGTGACACGAACTTGCCGTCATGCAGAGTGCGCGACAGCAGGAGCAACCCCGAGCACACTACACGGTACTTCAATAACTACTTCAGTCTGGGATACGATGCACTCGTCGCTCTGAAGTTCCACAACGGAAGGGAAAATCACTCGTTTATGTATAACTTCCAGTATCAGAACTTATTGATGTACGGCATACATGCGCTCGGGACGCTGTGTGATCGCTTGGACTTGCCGGAGGATGTGGAGGTGACTGTGGATGGAAAGAAACTAGAGGTGTGTGGAATGTCTGCATACTTGAGAACTGTCTTCTGAGTGTCTGATTGTTAGAGTGGTTGGATTTTCATTCATTTGCATGCACTAATAGATCCCGTATATTTATATGCATATTTATGCGTGTTCGTGCGAATTTAAATTTATTAATTGTTCGTATAATGTATACATAATTTATATAAGAATATGATTATATGTGTATGTATGTGTATTATATATGCATGTATACGTATATGTGTTGATTTATTTATATATATATATGTATTCGTTATGTATTAATTATATTATATATTATATTATATATATATTTATATATATATATTAATTATATTATATTATATTATATATGTATTTGTATATTTGTATATGTATGTGTGTATATATATATATACATGTGTGTATATATATATATACAAATTTCTGTGTAATGATATCTGTTGATATCTGCCTTTAATTCTTCATAATTTCCTGTATATAAATATAAATATATATATATGTCTGGGTATGGGTATGTGTCTGCGACTATATATATGTATGTATGTATGTACGTATGTATGTATGTATGTATGTATATGTATATGTATATAAATATATATGTATATATGTATATATTTGTAAGTGTGTGTGTATGTGTGTGTGTGG